GAGAACTTGGTCAGCTAGCCTGGGGTAAGCAACAGGAAGTAATGCACAAGCAAACTAACCCTGTCTCACACAAAGCAGATGAGGAGAGACAATGGGAAGTGTCCATCATACCTACACTAACACATATTCTACACACACACACGCACATGCATGCACACCCACACCCACACACCATATAGACTTTTTTGCCAGAATTAAATTTTATTTCGCATTGACAGAAACTGTGAAAAACATGACATTTTCCCACATTACAGCACAAGAATTCAATGGAAAATTTCTTACCCCAAATAAAACTTTACTGACGGCATAACTAAAGTGAGTTAAAGTAAGATTCTTAGAAGCAAAATAGCAAGTGATTGTTTGAAATTGTTTTAAACCCAAACATGAGCACATGGCTTCATCATTAACATTCTGTCTAGTCCATACAAATGGTCTTCACATCAGCTAGCATCCATTCATAAAGATGCTTCTTAGCACGGTCGTAGTCAGGTGATACACAGCAAGAAAAGCAACAAAAGCAACGGTTCATAAGTAACCATAACTTTGAAACATATTCAGAATCAGTTTATATTATCTATAAATTAATTTAAATAATTTTCACCAAAATTCTGGATACTTTAAATTCAAATTGTTGCTATTTTAATATATGCACAGGAGACTTATTCTCAAACTTTTTTTTTAACCTAAATTGGAATTTTCTAATTAGATCATGAACAGATAAAAATAAAAGTTTTTAGTTGCTCATTTGAACAGTATTTGGTTTTAAGCATAACAAATGTACAGAAAATGTAAACTCAGACTCTTCCATAAGTTGTAACTGTTTTAGAATTAGATTTCAAAACTGATCTGAAGTATTTATTTCTGAATATAACAAGATTTTATTTACTCTTTCAGTTCTTTACCAAAAAATAAAGCCACACGACTTTATTTATTACCGGTACTGAAGATTCTGGTAACTCTACAGTCTAAAGCTAGACTAGTGTCTAATTATTTAACACATAAGCTTAAGTAATATTTGCTTTTTTTCACATTACCTAGATTTGAAATACCCTGTCTGGGTTTCCAATGTGAAATTATAGTATATATTGGTAGGTTTTTATGGCAGAGAGGCAATATTGGACTTCTATAGAAAAATCAAGAAAGAAAGAAACCAACCATCTTTTACTTCTTGAGAGAAGAAAAATTAAACAGCAAAAAAGCCTGGTCCCCTAATCAAAGGGCCATTAACTAAGAGAGCAATATTACTTTTTGGTGCTTTAAAAGCATTATCCCTAGTAGTAAGGGTACTGTAATACCATCTAATTCATATGTGTTATAACCATGCATATATGAAGACACATATAAGAATACAGACATTGCATGGAGACTATAAAACTGTGGAGTAAAATCACAGCCTAATTCACAAAATTAAAAAGTCATTTACATCCTAACGGCTTATTTAGACCTGATTTCTTTTTTTCAGTGAGCTTACTAGTAATTTTCAAATGATGTATCAAGACTCTGCTGGATTAATTGAAGAAAAAAAAAAGCTAGCAACTTACTTCTTCTTTAACACTTGTATACTCCGGATTGTATAATCCAGATATATGTGGTAAAAAATTAAGGAATCATACATTTCCCATGAGGAAAAGATCATTTAGTCTGTCTTAATGGTATGTATTTGCAAATCATTTTAACACTGCAAACATTAGAAGTTTTCCCATCAGGTATGGAAAAAGGTTTATACTCTACTACAGTGATGCCAGCCAACGTCCTACACAAGGCTCTTAGTGATGTCAATCATTGGAGGTAGAAGTTTATCAGTGAGTTGCCTGAGATCCATCATTTCCTGTTGACATACACCGTGCACCAAAGTATCATAGGTTTCGAATGTTACATTGGCTGGATTTACCAGAGCTGTTAGTCTTTCAGCAGTAAGAGAACCAATGTTAGGGGAATTAAAGGGTCACAATCTCCATGGCACTGGAGAACAAAAATATCTCTGTTAACGCTATTGATAGCCTACTGGTGCCTGTGGAGAAGAAGCCCGAAGTGGAAGCCTACAACTCACCCCACTGGTGCCCTGCAGTTTCTGCTGAGTTCTAAGAGCATGATACAAAGATCAATTCCCTCCCTGAGAAAATACACCCCAAATAATGCTGTTAAAAGGAATGCCATCCATTTACCTCTTGATCTATCAAAGCTTTTACATTTCCTGCAACCTGTTTAATTCCAGTTTCTTCCTCTGGGAACCTGGGGAAAGTCCAATAGCAAACCAAGAAGGCATGGCCATATTTGTATTTAATATAAAAGGCATAACAGGTGCCATGTGGGCAGATGGACTTGACGTGTTAGTTCTGATACCTGCAATGGCTTCTGCCCATCCTTGCCCAGTAGCTCCCAATCCATGAAGGAAAATCACTGTGAGGGTACCCTTTAGGGAAGCTGGCACTGCAGCAGATAGCGAGGTGGACGCATTGCTGCTGTATATCCACCAACTGGTGGACAGTGCCCATCATTTGAGAAAAAAACGTTTAATGGATTACTTTTACTTGTTTCCCTTTAATTGAAAATGGATTTCCCCCCTCACATTAACATATATCATTACCACAGTTTCCCCTCCATCGGCTCCTCCCAGTTTGTCCCCACCTCCCCTCCTATCTGTATCTGCCCCCTCAGATACTGACTTACAGCCCAGTCCACAAGAAGGAGTAATTTGTTTCCCCAATGAAACTCTCTTGGAGAAAAATAAATTTTCATTTGTAAGTGGTTATCAGTTGGAGATTGCTTCTGGGTTAGGGATGGGGGCATATGTCCACTTTTCCTTTCAGCCTTAGGCCCCAACTAGTGCACACCCATGCAGGTCCTGTGTGTCATTGCCTGACTCTGGGAGTTTGTATGTACATTGATCATATTGATTTAGCAGACATTATTTTCTTTTTCTTTTTTTAATAATTTTTTTTAATTTTTATATGTGTTGGTGGGGTTTTTTTGGTTGGTTGGTTTGTTTGTTTGTATTTGGTTTTTGTTTTTAGTTGGTTGGGTTTTTTTGGTTTATTGTTGTTTGTTTGTTTGCATGTATGTCTGTATGAGGGTATGAGAGCCCTGGGCACTAGAGTTACAGACAGCTGTGAACTGCCATGTGGGAGCTGGGAATTGAACCAGGGTCCTCCAGAAGAGCAACCAGTGCTCTTGATGTCTGAGCCATCTCTCCAGCCCCAAGAGGTGGGTGTTTTCCTGGTGCCCTTTATCCCCTCTGGCTTTTACATGTTCTCTGTCTCCTCTTTCACAATGTTCCTGAGCCCCAAGGGGAGGGATTTGAGGAAGACGCACCACTTAGGGTTGAATGTTCCCAAGTCTCTCACTCTCTGTATAATGTCTGGCTGTGGGTCTCTGTATTTGTCCCCATCTGCTGCAGGAGGAAGCTTCCATGATGATGGCTGAGCAAGGCACTCTTCTATGAGTACAGCAGAGTGTCAATAAGAGTCATTTTATTGCTACTTCTTTTTTTAATACAACAATTGTATTTGGTTTTACTTGGGGTTTCCCTGGGCTATCTGATCTCAGGTTCTTGATCACCCAGGCAGTGTCAGGTGTGGTTTTCATCCGGTGAAGCTGCCCTTAAGTCAAATCAGATATTGGTTGGTCACTTCCACAAGCTTTATGACACCACTGCATTTGCATATTTTGCAGGCAGGATGCCATTTTAGGTCAAAGGGTTTGTTGCCGGTTTGGCATTTGTGTTTTTCCTTTGGTAGCATGCAGAGTATCTTTCTGTGCCAAAGACGTTAGCATGTAGGATGAAGGGTCTATGAACACCAGCTTGAGTTCTCCATTGTTCAATGAGTTGTATACAGGTTGTCTTCAGCAATGGGGCTTTGCCATCAGTGTATGGAGAGTGGTCTATATCCTTGGGTTTTGAAACTTAATGAATGAAATTAATATGAGATGGACTTGGGGGGTGGGGGACCCATACCTACAGTTTTCCAACAAGAATTCTTTGCCTATTTCATTTGGCTGCTTAAAATTTTCATCCCTAGACCAACTAACTTACCAGCACCAGGCAATACTGAAACTAACACATTTCCAAACCCATCAAAGAGTTGAGCACCCAATGAGCCATTCTTATCCTTATTTTGTTGAATCTCTTTTTGCAGATGGCTTATCTCTGAATCCATTGCTTCGCATTTCCTTTTAAATCCCTCATTAAGCATGTCTTCTTGGATCTATGAAAAGAAAAATACACTTGGAAAACCATGCCTCTTGAAGGTGGGAGGTTTGTATTTGGAACTCAGGGAGTGAAGGACATATCTATCTCTCTACCAAAACACGCTCATTGATGAATTTGCCTGATCCCTGGGTTATGACAGATGACTCAAAACAGCCTGCATTCCCTCTGTACCACTCAGAAGAGGGAGAGATGCTGGACAAGGACAGACCTGGGTACTGTCCATCTGAGAAGTTAAGGGGTCCACCCAGCCTTACCTTCAACTTGTGTGCCAGCCTCTCTTCTTGCTCTCTCAGAATGTTCTTCCTTTCTGTCTCCATCTTCTCATGCAGCTGGGCCATATTTTCCTTGTAGCTTCTCTCTTGAGCCTCCATCACCTGCTGCAGCTCCTTCTGCTTCTGTCTTAGTAGCTCCTGCTCCTTTTCAGCCGCCTCCTTCTGAACCCGCTCAGCTGTCCCACAAAGGTTTGAGAGAGGCAAGACACAAGGGTCAGGACTGAGCTCTCCTTTCTTTGGTTCAGTGACATAGCTGATTTTGAAACAAGAGAGAAGTCTGAATTCTAGCCACCAAACCCCAGAACACACTTCAGAATGATGCCGGAAGGTGCCTGTCACAGTTCCTGAGTGAGACCATACCAAAACCCTCTTAATTTCAGATTAGCAGAAGTGTGAAACCTATCTCAGAAGATCTTCCTGTTCATCAGTCAGCAGGCTTAGCAGAAGCCTCCAAATAGCTGTGAGAACCGAGTCCTCCCACATACCTTCCATGGCCTTCTGGCCATCAGTGAGGGCTTTGTCCGACTGAAGAATGGAATCCTCTATGGGAATCTGTGACTGTAGGAAGTTCTGAAGGACATGATTTGCCTGGTGAAACAATCAGGAGAAATTGTCAGGTCACGAAAACACATGTCAGAACTGACTTCTGAGGTTTGCATGGCTGCTTAGTACACTGAGCCACCCTGCCTGTTCTTCTGTGGCCTTAAAATACATTAGGATCTCAGCCATCCCATCCAACAGCTCTTAAATGTGCACAACAGTAGCACCTAATTATACCCTTATTCTAAGGATTGAATTGTAACTTCCAAAGTAGCATGTGCTTTCAGGTTACTGATGAGATCTGTCATGTAATGTTAGGGTATTAAAGTCTGGGCATGGTGGCTCATGTCTGTAATCCTAACACTGGGGAGGCTAAGGTCGTGGGACTGCAAATTCAGTGCCAGTCTGGTCTGGTTACATCAGGATTCCATCTCACAACAACACAATGGGGACTAAAGCTTTAAACAAGAGATTTGAGGGGGCTGGAGAGATGGCTCAATGGTTAAGAGCACTGGCTGTTCTTTCAAAGGTCATGAGTTCAATTTCCAGCAACCACATGGTAGCTCACAACCATCTGTAATGGGATCTGATGCCCTTTTCTGGTGTGTCAAGGACAGTGTGCTCATACGCATTAAATAAATTAATAAATCTTTTAAGAAAAGGGTGTTGAATATATGAACATTATTATTATTGCAACTATGGTAATACTAATTGAACTGTTATTTCTTTTCAATGTTTGTGCCAGGATAATTCTTGCCCTGATGTGGCCAAAAGACTATTTATATCTAGGCAAGATCATCAATATCTTATGGGCAATTGCATCTTTGATCTTCAAATCCCATGTATTTATTTCAGAAACAATTGCCATGTTTAATCAATAGAAAAATTGTTCCATTCCAGTCATAACTATTTATTTTAAACTACTTTGGGGGAAAGACTAATTTTGGTTTTGTTGAAAAAAAGGATAGAGAGATATGGGCTATATGTTCATCAAACCTTGTATGTGTCTGTATGTGTTTATGTGTGTGTATGTGAAAATTTCTTAATGTAACCTAGTAGTGTGTGTAGTATAACAATAAAATACAATGAAATTTTTGAATAAATAAATAAGAATCATTTACTCTGGGTCTAGAGAAGCTGGAAGTTTATAGGTAGACTTGCTCTTCCCTTGCCTCAGCAACTGTTCAGTTGAGTTCTAAGGAGGAAGATACTTCCTGTCAACCCTAAACCCATCTCCTTGATGCTCACCCTCATCCCTCACCTTCACTCCCTTCCTGGGCACTCGCTCATAGTCCTGCTCAACCTTCTTCCTGGCCTCTAGGTAGAGATGGTGACCCCCAGGGACAGAGAAAGCCCCACGTGAGATGCTCTCCCTCAAGGACGCTGAGAGCTTGTCCAGTTCAGCCTGGCAGTGACTGAGAGATGCTGCTTCATTCTGTTGCAAGAAATCTTCCTTTTTTTCCTCTATGGTGACCTGACAGGAGATCATTGAGATATCAGAAAAGGAAGCTGTTAAAACACGGATCCAACTGTGGTCTTTATGAAAGTAATAAACTCAGCTGTGAAAAGTACAGCACGAGTTAGAAAACTCTCTTCAGTCGCACAGAGTCCCTGAGCAACTTTCTAAGTAACCTTAGAAATCACCCACCCTTCCTGTGGCCAGGCTCATGCCCTGTGAAATAACAAGGTCAAATGGCAGAACCTCAGGCTCTTTCAGAGACACTGAGATTAACTGTGAAGCTACCACCAAATGAGCAATGGAACCTGGCTGGCAGGGAGTTTCCTCCAGAGATTCATATAGGGGGAAAATGTAGCATGAAAAAGCAACTCCGCACAGTGACTGGAACTTCGTGTAGGTTTATGAACTCTTCATTAATTACTCCATGGAAGATATGGGTGTGTGGAGATAAAACACCACCATGTTGAATTGTATCAATTACAGTCCGGGGGTTTCTCTTGAGTTCGGAGACTCTCCAGAGCTGAACTCACTTTACAACTTGTTTCTGTCCTCTGACAGCCTGAGCAGAGGGGTCTAGCCTCCCTGCACTGTACTAATAATCCACAAAACTGAGCTAACGCACATGTGATAGGTACATTGAAAATTCCTCTCCACCAGTAAAAAAACAACCGAGTCCCTGACTTTTGATCCTGTAGAACCCTGTCACTCATAAGAATGGAGATTGACAAGGTCAAGATGGCAACTGTTAATCAATACTCCTAAAGGTGGGAATCCAGAACAGAAAAGAAAAGACACAGACACAGTACCACCAAATTCTTCTGGAATTGCTGATTCTCATCCTTGAAGGAGTGCTCCATGAAGACAGCAATGGCTTCCTTCTCACAGGCTGCATGCACATCCAGCAGCTCCTGGAGCGTGTCTGTGGGGAGCCTCACTCGCTGGGCCATCTGCTCACTGTAGTGGTCAGCTGCCTTCTGCACTGCTATGGAGTTCTCACGTTGGGCCAGAGTCGTCACTGCGTTCTCTAAACATGGCACCGCTCCACTATTGATAGCACCCACGTAGGTCGTCACCAGAGTCGCCAGTCCTGGCCGAGGCACAGAATTTAAGGCTAAATGTCAAACTAGCTTTGGTTAATTTCACATGATTCAAGAATCAGCAATGAAGTAGACTGCTTAAGCAATGAAAAGTTCATGAACGAGAGCAAAGACCTATTTGTGGGAGACCAGCCTCAGATAAAAGTGATGATCTGTTTAAAAAAAAAATCCAAAATTTCAGGACAATAACAGAGAATTGTGTGAGAGGAGCAGCTCTCAGTACGGGCATCATATGACTGTCTGGAGCCATTTCATGGAAGGATATGTGTACAGAAGACAATAGTTATGTTGTGTGTGGGTTGTGTATGTGTGTAGACGCCAAATAACCTTTGTTGCCTCAGATGCATCCTTCACTTAAACTTTATGTTTTCTATCATTTAACCTCCCATATTACATCCTGACTGCAGCTTCCCCTCTACCTCCCCCTCCCACCTCCTCCCTTACTGCCCTCCTCACCTTCTCCCTCCTCATCTATTACCCCTTCCATTTTCATTCAGAAAAGGACAGGCCTCCCAGGGATAAAGCCACCAAACATGGCATATCAAGTTACAATAAGATCAGTTGCCTCCCCTCCTATTATGGCTGAAGAAGGCAACCCATCTGAGGCTGTTTATGATGCTCTCGCCTGCTTTTAATTTTATATATTCTATTGAGACAAAGTCTCTCACTGGCTAAAAGTAGACAAACTGGCCCCCAGAACCCGCCTGCCTCTGCCAAGCCCCCAGTTCCTGGTCTGTAACCCCACTCTCAATACTGTAGGTAGAATTGGGAGACTGAACTCATGCCTGCAAGCTAAGCACTCTACTAGTCAATAGAGTGAGCCATCATACTAGCCAAAAATAATGATTTTTTTTAAATTTCAAACTCACAGTAAACTTTTAGGAACCTTAGCCTCATTACCTACATTAGAACTGTCCTTTCCAGCCAGACAAAGAAACACAAGTGTCCTTTACATTACTTCAAACACATGAATTCCCTCTTTAACCTTCGTCTTGCTTCTTTGATCATGTATTGGATGCTTTAACGTGTATTAGATTTCAGTAAAGCCTCATGTAGAGAGACAATATTTTTCTTAAAAATTTTGCCCTTAGAACATAATTTTCTGAGTAGCATCAACAGCTGTTTCTTTGTGGTCACATCAGATACTAACAAATAATCAATATTTTATAACACACTGTTTTAAAGTAAAGAGATATTAACTGGGGCAAGGGTGACTCACGGTTTCCATTGACAATGATTCCCTCTTTCAAGGTCTTGGCCTTTGCATTGGAGAAGATGTAAGAACAGAATATTTTTGATTGCACTTGGAAATTGTGATCCAACTGGTCCTCTGGAATTTCCTCAACATGGACTAAGAGGTCTTTCTCTTTCGTAGGTCGATCAAAGACAAAACACTTCCGTCTTGGAAAGAAGTGTCTGATGCATTCCCTAGGCATGTTAGAATTTTGGGCTTTGAGACTCCTGCCTGTAAAATACATATAAATGAAATTTGTTCTTTGAAAGGACAGTCTTCAGGCTGGGGGCCCAGTGTTTTCCTTTCCAGGGAGCTTGGGATCACAGCTGTTCTTTTATTTCTCCATCTGCTGTAATGTTCCCACATGGCTACTCTTCATTTAAACATCTACGGTAGTAGTTCTCAACTTGTCAGTCATGACCCCTTTGGAAGTCAAATGGCCCTTTCACAGGGATCATTGAAGACCATTGGAAAACACAGATATTTACATTATGACTCATAACAGTAGCAAATTTACAGTTGTGAAGTAGAAGTGAAAGAATTTTATGGCTGGGCACAACATGAGGTACTATAGTAAAATTTGGAGCAGTAGGAAGGTTGAGAACCACTGATCCAAGACAAGGGTAAATCCATTTCTGCATGGAGTTAAAGAGCAATGAAGTAATTGTGAAGATTAAGAGGACCATTCATCCAAGGGATGAGGGCAACTAATCTTTGATCTTCCTAGTACTTGGTACAGGCCCCAGTGAATTCAGAATTTAAAAACATTTACTGGATAATTAACTAATGAATCCAAAGTGTTAGAAAATGTTTTCTGATTTTCCTGTATCCTTGTCAGAAATGAATTTGTGCTATGATACAAAATGATGTGGAGAAGAATAAGATGGTGCCAGGAAAAATGAAAGATGATATAACATATCAGGTCAGGACAGCAAAGCACACACATCAGCTTCCTGTACACATACTCCATAAATACACTCAGGATTCTGTGCCTTGCCAGTTATGAGGAATAATATTAAATGACTACAATGTAGAGACCTCTTCTGTTTCCTAAATTACAGTATGTTAGTGTTGACTGAGAAATAGAGCAATCCCATATCACCAAAGCATTCAATGAATGTTTGTTGAAAGAAAAAAATGAATAAATCAATAAAATTGATTCAAGAGATAAATACTGTATATTCAATAAATATTTAATGTCAAATATATTAACTGTAAGGCTGTCAAGAGAAGAGGCATATGCTATAAGAAAGATAAAATAAACGATTTGAGTCTTGTTGAAAGGAAATATCAGTGTTTTTCTTAATTATTTATACTATATTCTCTCTCTAAAAAAATCTTAAGTAGTCAAGTAGTAGTGAAATACACTGTACAAACGAATCACAACCTTGAGTAAATCACCTCATTTTATGGAATTTTATGTGATCTGTAAACTCTCTCTTAGTGTGTGTGTGTGTGTGTGTGTGTAGAAAGATAGATAAATATAAATATATATTCAAGGCTAGGGTTAGTTCACACACTACACACACACACACACAGACACATACCTATGTAGAGAGAGAATATACATATTAAGAGAATATTTGTATATATATGTACATCCATCTATATATATATTGAAAGAAAGAGAAAGATAGGGTGGGACACAGAAATCCTTTATAAGGAGCACAATGTGTAGGGCATGGACATTATATAATTTATTACCATCCACCTAAGTTTTTTGACTTTTAATTGGATGGAGACCATTAGGTCCAACATTTGTGTCTCATTGTTTCCCTTGCCCCTAAACTCCAGCAGCTGAAGATGTTCCATGATAATAACCATGGAAAACGTTCACCAATTGCTTTTCAGCTATCATCAGCTATTGTTGACTTAGAGCTTATGTCAGTGTCAAATCAACATTTATGTCAAGTTCCAAACAAGATAGCTAGAACTCTTCCCATCCAAGCTAGGCTTTGGTACCTGGAATCAGCTTCAGAGCGTTCTCCAGGTACTCGTCTTCTGTGATGACATGTCCGTCTAACTTCAGCTCCAGAATGAAATCTCGAACAGTCCAGATAAAGTCTGGAAAGAAACTTACAAACTCATCAGAGTCATCCACTTCTTCAGATCGTAAAGTGGATTTTGCCCTGATCAGCTCTGTCAGTTCCGTGACATAGCTGGGACCTTAGCTAAGGAATAAACAGCACCACTATACCCTTCCTAGATTTCTCTTACAAATCCATTTTACAAGCACCCTCTTGGTCCTGCATACCTGTCTTAATCAGGGTTTGTATTCCTGCACACAATATCATGACCAAGAAGCAAGTTGGAAAGGAAAGGGTTTGTTCAGCTTACACTTCCACATTGCTGGTCATCCCCAAAGTAAGTCAGGACAGGAACTCACACAGGGCAGGAACCTGGAGGCAGGAGCTGATACAGAGGCCATGGAGGGATGTTACTTACTGGCTTGCTTCCCCTGGCTTGCTCAGCTTGTTTTCTTATAGAACCCAGGACTACCAGTCCAGGCATGGCACCATTCACAATGGGCCCTTCCACCCTTGATCACTAATTAAGAAAATGCCTTACAGTTAGATCTCATGGAGGCATTTCTTCAAAGGAGGTTTCTTTCTCTGTGATAACTCTAACTTGTGTCAAGTTGACACACAAAACCAGCCAGTACAACACCCTTTTCTTAAATCCTAAGAACTGAGTGATATATGCAATATACCCAGTTGCCATTATCTTAAGTCAACAACACATGGTGAGTCAGTCCCTGGAAGGATACTGCAGCTGCTCCAGGGCCTGGTGGTTGATGGTACTCATGCTGTTGTAGACAAAGGTACTGCTCAGAAGCACAGCCAGGGCGAAGATCCACGAGTCGTTCTTAGGGTCACCCTGGAACATACATAAGGACAAAGGACTTGAGACTCTAACCTCCATTCTTTCATACATTTGTTTATTTGCTGCTTAATCAGAAATGCAGCATATTAACAGGATGAAGAAAAAGAAATTCATATTTCCTTTTCAATATCGAAACAGACCCTAACCAGTTTCCACAACCAAAATCAGACACTGTCAAAGTATTAAAAATGTTTGCTGTAGTGCTTAAACACAGTGAAATATGTGCACAGTAATAACACACCATTTCATTAACAGTTCATTGGTTATGTCATATTAAAGTCTGAAATTAGACTACTATTCTTGGAACATCTCCACAATCTCATGGACTACATTGAGCCGTGAGAATGCAAACTGCCATATAACGATAGAGACAGGCAAGAAGTCCCGTACATATAGAAACACAACTATGACGATCACCTGTGCCAAAAGTAGAATGAAATGCTAATAGAGAAGAAAAATAATTAATTTTAATAAGTGGCAAGAAGGGCTCTATATAATTTTAGACCAATGTGACTGTAAATGGGATATGATGGCAATGGTATGAAAACAGCTTTTTTTAAAAAAAAAAAAATAGTTGCTAGTAGGCATAATTACAGATTTAATAAATCACATATGTGGGAAGAGAAATACTCAGTAAATAAAAAGTCATAAAGCACAGGCCATATGAATGTATTGCACACGTACTTTGTTTGAGTGAAGCGGTTGCTGTGTGGGAGGACTTGAAAGTTGGGGCAGGAAGTCATGAGGTGAGATGTGATGCTGGAAAGGTCAGGCAGAGTTAGATGCTATCCTGTCCAGAAACGTCAGAGCCAGTGGGTCAAACCCTATCAACATGGTATGCTGTAGTGTCTCTCCCTTGTTCGTGTGCACAATAGTATGGATTCTGGGTTTATTGGATGTGATGTAGCGGGCAGGAAACCTTTTATATTCTGAGGGGATATTATTTTTTCAAATGTCCATTTCGATATCCCTAAAAACACTGAATTCAGATCAATAGAAGCAAAGCTTAGGTCAGACACCAACTTGCTTGCAGAAGAATTCATCTTGGTTTAATACAGGATTGAATATTGGGAATTTTGTATGCCATAATGAAATGGTTACCCCTATGTTAACAGCAATGGAGGTCTAAGGCTATTGCTACTGCCTACAGTTAGATTACAATTTTCAATAACCTCAAAGATGACAGCTTGCCTTCAGGAAAGATTACACAATCATATAACTTGGTTAATTGTCTACTTCTCTGAACCCACCGCACCTTCTACTGATTTTAGAGTGTATGCCTGGTTCCTCCTGGACTAAACTATGTATCTGTGCCTTCCACTGCAGGACTTATGGTATATAGTATGAAACCCTGAAATTCAGCTTCTCAATACATGTTTGCTGAACTGTATGACTCATACAAGTGTCAAGATAAGACTATCTGCCATTACAACAAAGTGTTTGAGTTTATGAAAGGAGTACCTTCACCAAGGAAAGCAGCTTATTCTCCTTATCAATAACTTGGTTGCAATTCTTGCAACCAGTACAGAAGTTGGACTAAAGCAGCAGTCAAATGGTCCACAGAGAACTGAAACCAGTCTTACCTTCTCCACATCACCTAAGCCCTCTGTGTCCAGAAGCACGAGTGTGTATTTGGGCTTGCTGGGGTGAGGTACACACCACATCCAGATGCCCTTAGTTTCCGACCTAACTGTGGTGCCCAGATTGAAGCCTGTGTGAGAGAATATGAAAGCAACATGGATTTATGTGATTTCTTAGCATATAGGAAGCAGAGGTTCCACCCTTAGCGCTGAGCTTATTCAGGTACAAGGTATTAGGAGAGAAAGAGTATCTGCATGGTCTACAAAGGAAGAAGAAAGTAGTGCAACCAGGGCAAATTATCAAAAGATCAATAAGAAGAAAACAGGATGCTCTGGTTTTTAAAAGACTTGAGTGTGAAGTTTACAAAGCAAGATATGCAAATTGCAAGTCGTGAAGAGCTGTTTCCCTCTTGTCTATAAGCTAGTGGCATTAAACCAAGTTCACCACATTAGCAAAATTTCAAAGCAGAAACAATTTTTTGTAAAGGAGTGAAGAATATTCTATTGCTACGAATAGACATATAAACTACACATAAAGTTTAAAATGCAATATGATATCCTCAAGAAACACTACACATGTGAATGTCTTGCAATCGCAGAGATTCACTTCTGATCATGTTACACAAAAAGAAGTTCATGCAAAAAAAATGTGACAACATAAAGAAAAGCTTATGTGTGAAAGCCTTGTCCTATAAAATAAGTTCTGGAAATAAATCAGTGTTGACCACAATAAATAATGTTATTTATATAATGACATGCTATGAAATTAAAAATTAGTAATTTAATAATATTTATGACAAACTGGGTGTTGAGCAAAAGAAGCCAGGGACATCAGGACACTTCCAATATAGATATTGTAATACATTAAAATATACATATATGTGTTACTTAAGTATATATGTGTGTGTGTATATATATATATATATATATATATATATATATATATGCATACTCCTTAAGAAGTTTAATACTAGATTAAAGTGAACTGATTTTTATAGATACATACTTAGATTTTTATAACTGTCTTTGTAAATCAGTGGGGAAGATTCACGAAAATAATAAGCCTTGGAAGACTGTAAGATGACATGAAGCAGCATTTGAATGTCACAAAGCTTGACAGTTTGACCTCGTCAGTAAAGAAAGAAGAATTTGTTAATTATGTCATACACTGTATTTTATGTAACCTCCTGTATGTTGCATTATGCATATTTTAAAGGCTAACAAGCGAAACATAGATATAGCTATTTAAGTGATGAATAGGGCATAAAATATAATTATCTCAAAAAAGATGTAACATAAACACAGATTTACCTTCCTATTCTCTCTCTCTTTCCCTCCCCTCCCTCCCTCTCCTCCTGTTCTCTCTCCTCCCTCCCTCCCTCCCTCCCTCCCTCCCTCCCCTCCTGTCCTCTCTCTTCCCTCCTACTCTCATTCCTCCTTCTCTCTCCCTCTCTCCCTCCCCTGCCCCCTCCTCCTGTTCTCTCTCCTTTCTCCCTTTTTCCAGCCTCACAGAGGCAGTCCTTCCTCCCTTTCTTTCTTCCTTCCATCATTCCATCTTCTTCATTTTAATAAACAAACACAATGAATTGCACTCCATGGACTCTAAAGTCAGCAAGATGAGAGGAGGAAACGTTATGGGGATTGACATGGGCAGGAAAGAATGATCACTTTGCATTGTCAACAATTCCAAATGGCCTCTGTCCTGTCTGAGGATGATACTCACCATGCTTCTGTCCAGCCAAGCGGTTCATCAGGTAGGACTTTCCCGTGCGGTACAGTCCTACGATGGCCACCACCACCACAGGCTGAGTGATCCTCTCAAGAATGTTCACTGCTTTGGGGTTCACCCTCAGCTCTTTATTCTCATTTTCCACTAGACAGATCGGAGCCTTCATGTTGGCACCAGATGTCATGGTAACCTGAAAACCCCAAAAAGCCTTCTCAGTTGAATATGAGATCTCAAAGCCACCTCTAGTGTCACATCAATGTGTCTGTGCAATGGGCGTGTCAACTTAGTATTATTGTTCTTTGCTGTTGTTAAGTTTGTGTGACAATGTTTCATGAGTCTCTTTGGCATAAGCTCTTTCAAAGCAACAGGAGTAAGAGAGATGTCACCAGTAACCCAAAGCCAGGATAGTTCCTGAAGGCTTCTGTCCAGAGTCCAGTTTCCAGTTTTATGTTATACTCTAAAACCACAAGATGTGGCAAGCAGGCAAGACAAGATTGTTTTTTGTTCTTGTTGTTTTTTGTTTTCCCCCAGAAGAATACATGGCAGTCAAGTTTTTGCTTTACAAAGACATAGATTACATTTGACAGGTGCAATCTTTTTTGTTGGATTAAGGGCAGTGACTCCTTGTCTTTTAGCTATTTCTCTAGGTTGTTCTGTACCAGGGAGCAAAGTGCAGTCATGCTTGGCAAAAAGCAGAGTCGAAAGCAGTGCTTTAAGCAAATCTAGTAATTGGTCATTTTCACCTTATTCCACTTCAACAAGGTCTCAAGCAGCCATTTTCATTCATAACAAATAGAGACAGATATAGACATCCACACCCAATCTGTGGATGGAGCCTGGGGACTCTGAAGGAAGAATAGGAGGAAGGATTGCTGGCCAAGGGGATAAAAACTCCTCATTGCACTTTGTATATCACATATTTGTTATGTAATGGCATCCAGCCCCACCCCCATAACCCCAGCCTGAAGAAAGGAATGGTGTTCTACACTGGCTGTCTTAGTAAGGTGGTGTTTTGAATGAAAATGGCACCCATGGGCTCATAGAGAGTGACATTATTTGAAAAGATTAGGACCTGTGACCTTGTTGGAGGAAATGTGTTAGGAGGGAATGGGGGGCTTTGAGGTTTCAGAAACTCAAGCCAGGCCCAGTGGTTTTCTCTCTTCCTGTTACCTGCCAATCCAGATGTAGAACCCTCAGCTCCTCCAGCACCATGTCTACCTGTGTGCTGTCAAGCTTTCCACCATGCTAATAATGGACTAAACCATTGAACTGTAAGCCAGCCCCAATGAAATGTTTTCCTTTATAGGAGTTGCTGTGGACATGGCGTCTCTTCACAGCAATAGAACTCTAGCTATGACATACAGAACCACAAGAAACGATCTGACAGGCATGTGGATAAGCAAGGATAAAATGAAGCTGTCTTTGTTTGCTGTCCATGTGCATTTGTGTGAAAATCCCAGGGCATCTATGTATTATTCTTACAACTAATCAGTGAAATTCCCAAGGCCAAAAGACACAAGGTCAATGTGTTAGTTACCTTTCTCCTGGATGGGACAAAATACTTAGCAGAAGCAATTTAAGAAAGGAAAGCTTATCTGGTGTCTTAAGATTTTATTGCTACACTGGGGATATGGGACCTGAAGAGGCCACCTCCCATGCCAGGAGGGAACCCCAGTGGAGTGATAAAGACATCAACCCATCCACAAAACTTTCAACCCAAAATTTATCCTGTCTAAAAGAAATGCAGACACTGGGGAGGGAGCAGAGACTGAGGGAATGGCCAACCAATAACTGGCCATGGGCAAGCACTAATCCCTGACACTATTAATGATGTTCTATTATGCTTGCAGACAGGAGAATGTTGTCCTCTGAGAGGCTCCACCCAGCAGCTGAGTCAGACAGATACAGACATTCACAGCCAAACAGTGGATGAAGCTTGAGGAATCTAACGAGAGAACAGGAGGAAGGATTGCTGGCTCCAAAGGGGATAGGAAGTCCACAGGAAAACCAACAGAGTCAACTAACCTGGAGTCTTTGGACTCTCAGAGTCTGAACCACCAACAAAAGAACATACATGGGCTGGACCTAGGCCTCCCTGCACATATGCAACAGATGTGTAGTTTGGTCTTCATGTGGGTCTCAAACAACTGGAGTGGGGGCTATCCCAAAAGCTGTTGCCTGATCATGGGATATGTTCTTCTAGCTGGGCTGCCTTGTCTGACCTCAGAGGGAGCGGAAGGGTTGGGGGGATACCCAGGGGGCACCTCCTGCTCAGAGGAGAAGGGGAGGGGAACGAAGGAAGGATTGTGGGAGAGGGTGACTGAGAGAGGGCCAGTGAATGAGATATAAAGTGAATACATTGAAAAATTAAACAACGAAAAAAACCAAAAACCACTATTTCTGTTGCTTCCACTGCCTGCAGGCCAGGGTCATGGATGAGTCGTGCCATGCCCAGTTTCTATGCTGCTGAGGACTGAAGCCAAAGCTTCACAGATGCTAGACAAGCATGCCACCAACTGAGGCCAGCCCCAGGACCTTCAGGTCACTTTCTGTACAATGGTAAGTGACAAGCACGTGGCCTTACACCAGCAAATCATCATTTTCCATCTGTTTCACTACCATTTCTCTCCAGTGGCTAATTTCTCTGAAAATACATCCTCACCAATAAATATTTCTGTGGGCAAAGCTCTGACGGTGCATTATCTCTTGAAAGAACCCTAACTATTAAACACTACTGTGTCTCCTTTCCACGTGTGTTGGAGGCCATGCATACACATACACTCTGAATGAATGCTTGGGAAGTCTATAAGCTGCTCAGTGGATCAAGAAATAAACACCAATTTGCCTGTCTCCCTTTAATAGACCCTGCTACCAAAACTTCCCTGATAGAACCAACTTCCCCAATTCACCTTCTCTAAACTGATAAATATCTTAATTAAGAAATACAAACTCTCAATTTATTAGTGGCCCCTCATTATGATACAACCTGCACTCTAGGTGTTGTTTGTCCTCTGGTGGCATCTTAAAAACTATAAGTGTTCCTTTACTTAACATCAACCCAGAGTAGGTGTCAGTGGGAAACGTAAGCTCACCTTTAAATTCTGTGAAAGACACTAACTTAATGACCAGTTCTATCTATCTATATTACGAACATATTGATGAACATGTTATTTTTTTTCTCCCTGCTATTATGCAGGTCTGGGGTATTATCCCAACTAAGAAGTTTCAAATCCACATTAAATAAGTAGAATTACATAACTGTAATTGGTCATGTAAATAATCCACGGTTTCCAAAGGTAGCCTGAGTCACACAGAAGACAGTAAAAACTGCTTCTGCCCTAGATTTTTCACAAGCTCCAAAACATGTCTGAAACCTTTCTTGGATGGACTACACTTTGAAACGGTTCACAATACGTGAAGGGGTTCAGGCTTTACTGCTATTTTTAACTTTTGGATGTTTTTAACTGAGTATGTGTTCTCTTCTCCTTTGGAGATGATCTTGCACCTCCTACCCTCAAACTGGAAAAACACTTACTCTTCAAATTCAGGCTGTACTTTTATTACCATGTTAATTCATTTAAAAATCTAAAATTTAATGTGGCCCTGTTTTCCAAATAAAGGGTGAAAATAGAAAAAAAAAGCAAACTTTTAAATAATAAGAATAGGACTGGCACCCCACCGCAGGGCAGGAGAGAGCACTGGTACCACTGAGGCTCACCTGAGCCCATTGGGAATTCCCCAGGAATTAGACTGGGATGCCTCTGTTTTCCGTTTCTTCAACTCCAGGCTGAGCACGTAGCTGCAGGGGCACTTAAGCCCAGTGATAGATAAGGAGGAAGCTCTGCCTGGAGGGGTTATGTCCCTCTGATCCAAAAGGGACTTCACCCTCTTACCAGGGAGGTAGTGCACCGCAATGGGCTAATGTTCCCTTGGAAACTCTCAACCCCCACGACTGGCTCCACTGAAGTAGCCTCGCCACATACCCTGAAACCATCAAACAGCCTCTGATCGCGGTCTACCTGCCAGTGTTTTCTTGCACCCAGCGTGCAGCTTGTGCCCTGGGACCTCCGGACCACCCCTGAAGCTCCTTAGAGATGTGTACATTTGGTACCGAGTCGCAGGGAACTCACCTGCCTGCAGGGGATGATTCTCTGCTACCCGGGTTCAGCACAGTTAGGATTCCTCCTGAAAGCTCTATTCTTAAACCTCAGAGTCAAACCGGATATTGCATGCATTTAGCTGTGGGGTGGGATAGAAAACTGAAATCGAAACTGCATAGGCTTAAGCTGTTTTTGTGAGAAGCTTTTGCACCCACCGTTTCCAGGAAAGAAAACAAAAGCTGGGAAACAGTGGGGGAAATCTACAGTCTTCCCTGCCAGATGGACCTACAAAAACAATTCACTGATTCTCTAAATACTGACTTTTATTGGGAAATAAGAGAATGTTGCAACAGGAATATGCCAACTCCTGCCACGGTGAGCCACTGGCTTATTCCAAGAGGTTGATGCGAATGAAACGTTGTTAACTTAAAAATTTGCAACCCATGCATGATATTACTACTGTACATATTAAGAAGGTAATGGGGTGTTTCCGTGCACTGTGTACATCATGTGATGTAGGATGCAGATTGGGTTAACCTCCTCGTACAGTTAACATTTACATCAGAACTCTGGCTTCCCCCTTTTTTACATCCCCCACGGATCAGCTTGCTGTGTCTCCTACTATACCGAATTTTTAAAAGGCAAAAGTGAAGTGGATTACAACAGATGTTTTTTTCGGTTAAAACAGCTTTGTCTTAGGTGACTTTGTCCAGGTACCTGCTAACATACAACAGACTAAGCTGTCATCTTTAGTTGGTTAAGTGTCTTGGTGCATTTTAAATTCACAAATTTTCACATCAGGCTGATTCTGTGACTGGGGTGTAACCTCGTGTTGTGTTAAGGAGTATCTACACAGAGACCAGACTAGTAAAGTGTCCATGCTTGATGCTATCTTAGAGGCCCTCAGCATCATTTTACTGACCTAGGGACGACGTGGGGCTTGGTTAAGCCTGAGAACTGTCACTTAGTGTGTCTTAAGGTTACCTACCCTTCAGGTAGGAATGTCACTTTCAGTCCCATCTGTTACTTTAATTGAAGTAAACTTCTCCTGTAGAACTAAAGAAATTGTGAAATCTGTATTGTCAGGCTCAAGGCTAGGACATGAATACATTCATTGCAGTAACACAGGATGAACTACACATGTCTGGGGTTGAGGCAGGTGGCTGACACACAAGGTTTATAGCTTTCACAATCTGCTCTTTTATGTTGCTTTTTAAAAGACAAAATGGATCTACTTCAGATTGACCTGGTGTGACTGTGTATATGCTCAACCCAGGGAGTGACACTATTAAACCTATTGATTCTGTTCAAGTAGGTGTGGCCGTTTTGGAGTAAGCATGGCACTGAGGGTGTGGGCTTTAAGACCCTCATCCTAGCTGCCTGGAAGCCAGTATTCTCTTAGCAGACTTCAGGTGAAGATGTAGAAGTCTCCATTCCTCCTGCACCATGCCTGCCTGGATTGACCCTCTGAACCTGTGATCCAGCCCCAATTAAATGTTGTCCTTATGAGTTGTCTTGGTCATAGTGTCTGTTCACCGCAGTAAAACCCTAACTAAGACACCTGGAGCACAATGAAATCTTCCTGAAATCACCAGGAATAATGACCCGCATGTGGGAAATGCTCTAATAATGAGAGTTCAAGGACTTCAGCAGGATCAAGATGGATCTGAGACTCTTATGAGCCATAGGTCCTTGTGTTCGCTTCTGGGTACACGCTTCTGGGTAATTTCACACTTCCCTTCAGCACTGCCAAACACTGCCCGGGCCTCAGCCAGACTTGACTGTGAGCTCCAGCATTTTGTTTTGCACTTAAGGGGTTCTCTTTTGCACCCACCTCTATTTTCTCCCAAGTTTGGTCAACCCTCCCCTTGATCATCTCCCGTTCAGTGGCCATGGCTGACTACCATCTCTCTTCTGTTCTTAGCCACTTCTATGAGTGTCTCCCTCATGACCACTTGGCTCTGTGCAGAGAAAGGAGAAGACAGACTGCTGGGCTATTTTCTCCTGAGCAGGCAAGAGCTGATTTTGGGATGTGGTAAGAAAGGCCTTGCTCAGCTGGACACCAAACACAGTGACTCTTGTCATTGTCCAGATTCAGCAGGGTGTACCTTCCATGGAGAGAGCTCTGAGCCTTTATTTCCCTCTAGGAGATTCTTCCTATCCAGCCTTCTGAAAAAGGAGCTCCACCCCTTAGCTTGTATAGCTTGTAGTTCTCACCAGCCAGAACTCTAACTGAAGGATGCATTTCCACAGCACTGCCTTACCATCCAGAAATTGCCCAGAGAAACACCATTGCCCCAGGAAGCACGAGGAACAAACAGAGCAGACAAAATGCCAGCCTTTTTCTGAAAGTATCATTGTTCTATACAGTCATACACTAGACACAGGAAAGTTCGAATCCTTTCTTTTTCTGGTTTTTTTTCATTGATTTATTTATTTATTCACTTTACATCCTCGTCACAGCCCCTCCTCCTCTTTTCAAAGTTCCACTCTCAGAGAAGAGGATGCCCCCCTTGGGTACCAGCCAGCCCTGGAAACTCTGGTCAGAGCAGGACTAAGTGCATCCTCTCCCACTGAGGTACCACCAGGCAGACCATTTAGGAGAAGGAGATCCAATGGCAGGCAACAGTGTCAGAGATGGTCCCATGCTGCAGTTGTTAGGGGACTCACATGAAGACCAAGCTGCACAGTATGGTCCTCTCTTCTTCTTTTGTGTCTTTGTGCTTCCCTCTAGGGTGTGGATAGTAAAGTCTAAACTCACATCAGACATGAAAACTCCCCACAGTAGCTTTCCTCTCAGCTCTGTAGATGACTCCTGCCCAGTGGCACATTCACCACTCAGACCAAGTTCCAGACAACCAAATCGCTGTGAACTTCCATGAGCATTTAAGAGGTCATTTTTATATATTTGCACATTATTTTCCTTCTGCTTGGATGCCCGTCTATCCTTTAGCCCTTAGCACACACGTACTTCATCTCAATCCCCGGCTCCCTTTCCAGAAAGCCCCCTTGACCTTTGCCTCTGTGATTTGAATTCCTATGGCACACTCACCGAGTTGTCCTGTCAACTCTGCCAATTGTTTACAGTCTGCTTTCCTCAGCCTTTGTGTGGTGTCTGGCTCTGAGTACTTGTTAATATTTGTTGAGTCACTGATAAAATATTTTAAGATCTCGGGAGTAAATCTGATTATTCTTCTGCAGTGTCAAGAATGAAAACGAGACATTAAGTCATGTGATATGAGAAATAAGGACAGTTTATTTTGAAACAGAAAAATGTCAGGAGAAAAACAAAAGTTACCAAGGACAACACAGAAGTAGGTTCTAAATATAAGCAAAGCCTGGCATAAGCACTGTTTCCACTCAATCCTCTACATTAACCTCAGAAACTTGAATTTTTTTTAACTACTCAGCACATATATCATACTTGTCCAAACCCTATAACACCACTCTGTGATATATATCCTATGTTCAGACATGCATTTCTTCACAGAATGGATAAGTGAATGAGTAAATGAAGGAGATATCCGCTCTAGGTGCCTTCAGTTATCCGTGTTGGTAAATAATGTGTTACTCCTATAATACTAAAATAACACATTGTGTAAGACTACAGAATAAAGAAGATTATCATATGAAGAAGTAAAAAGAGGAACTTGATGGTTTCACTGAAAAGCTACATCCACGATGTTTCTGGATCATTTAGTGCCTAAATGTCATTTGTTTGAAGTATGAGACAGTCCACCCAGTAGTAAAATACGCTGCATGAAATCATCTAAGTGTCAATCGAGTTCATTGTCATTTTGTATTTACATCAACTTCCAGTCTGATGGTTGGCAATTTGTCTAGGCTCTGCCCCACAGTTACCTGGCAACAGTCAGGTGTGCCTGACTAACTATAAAGGGAGCTACTTGCCCCCTCCTCACTCTCCTGCTCTCTTCTCCTCTTGTCCTTGCTTCCTTAGCCTCTTTCCCCTCTCTCCTCATTCCCCTTCTCCCTCTCTCTCCACATGCTTATGTAGCCTCTACTCTTCTCTCTCTCTCTCTCTCTCTCTCTCTCTCTCTCTCTCTCTCTCTCT